TATTATCATTATTATTATTCTTCTTCTTCTTATTATTATTATTATATAACAGGCCCCAACAAATACTAGGCAAACCTCTGAATGCAAAGTTGACTGTTCCAATGCCTCCTGGAGGAGCCAGGCTTGTGACATTGTGGGTTTGGCGTTTACGGTGTAAATTACTTGGGGAGTTGTCTAAGTTAGGGTCCCCTTTTAAGGGTCCTTTTGTTAAGAGTCCTTTTTTTATAGGGTGCCGTGCCATATTCGGGACCTAAAAAGGGACTCCAATTTAGAGAACTACCCACTCTGTTTTCTGCATTGTCCGTCTAAAGACGTGCACCCATGTTTGTTTATCCTGTACATGTATATGGGGCGAAAGCAACGATGATCAAGCACACACAGCACAACAAGCAGCCCATAACCACCAGACAAGAAGGCTGAACACCACAACATTTTTTTGGAACACCACCACAAATCTTTGAACAGTCCTAAACCCTAAGCCTTAACCCTAGCCTAAACCCTAAACCACCCGTCGCCCTTCTCAAGGCGTTGTAGCAAACGCAGTTTGCTTGGGCGAAGCTGCGGAAGCCTTTGAGCGAGGCACCTTAGGGTTTTTGGTCGGGCTTAGGGTTTTGGGTTAGGGCTGAGGGCTTTACTAGGGCTTCGGGTTCAGGGTTTAGGGCTTAGGGTTTAGGGTTTAGGGTTACAGGGTTTAGGGCTTAGGGTTTATCCATAGCATAGGATTGTTTTGGGGCTTTCGGTTGTCTTTTGCTCAGGAGTTCAGTTTTTTCTGGCCTTCAGGGCGATAACAGAACATGTATGGTGCAGGGCTTTTGGGGCGTGGGGCGAGAGGATCGTCGTCTAAAGAGCTTCAAAAGGGAGTCTTCGCTGTTGAAGGTGGGTTTGGAAGTGCTGGAATGGTTTACCCTAAGGGCCCAGGTAGTCATCTAGTATATACATTATAGCCCCAAAGTGCCCGAATAGGGACTACTTGAAGGCCAAAGTATCTACTATTTCGGTACGTGGACCCCTTTAGCCCTAAACCCAACAGGCAAGAACCCGAATAGATCCCTTGAAAGGAACCCCAAGACGAGACCCTAAAGAGATCACTTGGGTACATGGGGTCCGGGGCTTGGGGTTTAGGGTGTAGGGGTTTAGGGGTTTAGGGGTTTAGGGTTTAGGGTTTAGGACCCTTAGGGTGATGGAACCACAGGTGGTCTGTCGCAGCTGCTGGCTGGGGTTCTCGGCGCGCTGTCTGATCCCGGCATCGCCAGTGCTCTCAGGGGCGAGCAGCCGTTTTAAAGCAAGTTTTTTTGGCAAAGACTCCCAAAAACAGTTTTGGATACCCTAAACCCTAAACCCCTAAACCCTAAACCCTAAACCGTGAGAGGGGGATTATCGTCTTCTTCGACTTCGGGTTGTGCAACGGGGCTTTTTTTGTTCTGAGGGCTTCGTAGGCCTTGACTAACGAAGATCGGTTTAGGTCGGCTCGGGGGGCCATCTAAAAGGCAATGAATCGATGGTTTAGGGTTTCTAGGGCTTATAGGGCTTATAGGGTTTATAGAGTTTATAGGGTGTATAGGGTTTATAGGGTGTATAGGGTTTATAGGGCTTATAGGGTTTAGGGTATAAGGTTTAGGGTTTAGGGTTCAGGGGGGATGGAATTGAGAGGTTTGGGAGTCTTTGGGCCTGTCTCAAGCCGGGAGTCTGGAATGCTGATCGTTTCAGTAAACCCCTAAACCCTAAAACACCGGCACACCCTAACCCGGAAGCCTAAACCCCTAAGAACCTTAGAGCCGAACCCTAAACCCCTATATAGAAGCCCTAGAAGGGAACGCTGAAATTAGTAGCAGATGCCTGGCTGCGCAGGACCCCTCGTCTTGCAAGTGCCTTGATCTTGGCTTTCGGCCCACCGATACTCTCATGCCTGTAGAAGCTTCTCAACTCGCCAACCCGGGCCCTAAAACCTTAAACCTTACCCTTACCTTACCCCCAAAGGAGTCGTATTTCAAGGCCTTTGGACCCAAGGACCCTATTATACAAGGCTTCTGGGCTATTTTATGCTAAAGGTTAGGGTATACCTGAGTTCAGCAGAAGGATACTCATGCAGCTCATGCAGCTAGCTGCGAACTGTTTCCTTGATCAGCTTTGGGTATGGACTTTTGGATCCCTCATCCCCACTACGACTTCTCGGAATGAGAGCAGGAGCTCGAAAAACCTTGGTGTCCGGCTTATGAAGGATAAGATTCAACTTACGGATTAAAGGGTCGAGTGTGTCGGGCTTCAGGTTTAAAGCTTGAGGGCTTATGTGGTTCAGAAATGGGACTTTCCGAAAATCAGGGGTACCTTATGTTGGGGTCCTTAAAATAAGTATCCTACTATTTAGGGTACTATATTAGGGTCCCCTATTTTGGGAAACCTCCAAGTGCTTCAGAGTGTCGGCTTCCTGCGTATCCCTTGTTCCCCAGCTGCCGACTGACCTCCTCGGCGTGCCACGGAGATAAAGGAGGGGGGGAGCCCTTAGGGTCCATGTACCCAAATAGTGTCGTTTTAGGCTTCCTTTAAAGGGATCTATTAGGGTTCTGTAGGGTTTAGGGTTTAAGGGTCCATGTACCCAAACAGTATATACTTTGGCCTTAAAGTATTTCCTATATAGGTACTTTAGGGCCAATGTATATACTATATGAGTACATGGACCCTTAGGGTAGTACAGCAAGTGCCGATATGGGGGGATAGCTCGCCAGGCCACGCCAGTTCTTGATCCATCCTTTGTCGCGGAAGGTCTAGGGTTTGGGTGTGTGTACACCGTCTAGACGTGGGGCGCGAGTGTCGTCATGGTGCTCTACCGATGTTTGGCGGGGGTTGGATCTATGCAACCAGACTAAACCCTAAGGCTCAAAATTGCCTAAAAGCCTTATATAGTTTGGTCTTTGGGCCCAAAAGCCTTAAAATATGAGTCCTTAGAGACTCCTGGAATTGCTGCTGGTATGAAGGCCTTGGATTGCTAGACTCTTCCGTCAGTGCTTGGAATCTGCGATGCACCCTAAACCTTAAACCCTATACCATACTACTGTTCCCTAGATGGCTCCAATCTAATCGGACATAGAAGTCCGATGAACCCCACTTCAGTTCCGTAGGCGTTGGGATTCTAGATAACCTTTATAACATTATGCTAGATGAGCATTTCTTTTTTGTGGATACCCTATAGCCTATAGAGATTAATCTCGATGAGATAAATGAAAGAAAGCCTTATCCCCAAAGCCGCCAAGGTTGAAAAACTCTTCGGCGAGAATCCAAATGGAAATATTCTCCCGGTGAGACGCCCTTAATCAAGTGGGACCTTCATATTATCTTCTTTAAGTCCTACAGTATTCATCTCTATGCTCCTTCATAGCTCGAACCTTGAGAGGTACGATCTTTCTTCGCTGCTGGAAGCAATGGATCTGCTCGAATATTGCAAGAAACATTCATCGAGATGAATAGAGAATCAGTTTGCTTTATATATGAGACGGAATTTTCCTCGCGACCGGGACGCAGAACACATCAGACGATCGCGCATGGCCACTTCAGGTTGTTGCGGGTCTTGCGGTGTACTTCCTTATGCTGCTCCTTGTTGCTGTGCTGACCCTTCCCAACCCGCTCAGGCCGTGGGGATTGGTCTCCGGTGGATGGGACAACACTGCCACGACCTCATTGATCTGAGAACTTCTAATACTACTCCTATACTACGACTATTGATGATACTACTGATCCTACTGATCCTACTGATACGACGACGACTACTACTATCTACGACCGACGACGACGACGACGACGACGGAGCTTCGGATTGATGGTCGCGGTTTCTGGGTGTGCGGTGTTGTCTCACCGCAGTCAATACACTGCGAATTTTTATTTCACCCCATAACCACACATATGTTGTAAAGACCCTTACTTACGGGAACCCGGATCCCACGCAAAGAGCCGTTACATTTATGCTAAAGTGAAGGTCGTTCAAGAATCCGGTACACCTCGAAGACTGTTCCTGCGTTCTGCCGCCCTCGGCCTTCCCGCACATTGCCAGAGCCTCCAGATATGCCAACCTGGAAGGCCCATCTGCATTTGCATTATAAATACCCTGAGCCGTCTAAACGCTACACCGCAAATTACATCAACTGTTGACCAGAGTCCGGTAAGCCCATAGGCTCCTAAGTGGTTCATTTTTGTGGTTTATATTTAGAATCCTATAAGGTAATCCCAAAGAGGAACTACTTAGGAGCCTATGGGAGCCGGAGTTTAAGTTTACGGGGAGATCGCGAGCCAAGCACTTGTGTGCACGAAGTCCGGCTTCATGAACCTTTTGGTTTAGGGGTTTAGGGTTTAGAACCCAGAATTCCAACCGTGAACCCGTAGTGCCGACCCTAGACCGCAGCAATCAGCAAGACACCCGACCCCACCTCATACCCTGGTATCCCACTCTGTAGGTTTCAACTGAGTAAACTTTCATGCCTGAGTTGTTCGGGGAGTTTAGAGTCAGGTCTTGGGTTTAGGCCTTGGAGTGTAGGATTTACCCTAATCCCTAAACCCCTAAACCCTAAACCCTAAACCCTAAATCCCTAAACCCTAAATCCCTAAACCCCTCTAAACCCTAAACCTGGCTTTGTCGAGGTGCAATACTGGGACTTACGTGCCGGCGTGAGCCTCAGTTTGAGTCGAGTCTCCCAAGATCTTGCAGGCACAGTCAAGGTGCGCACCATGGGGGCTTATGCAAAGACAAGGGAGTGATGAAGTGCATAACCCTATCCCCTTGTAGCCCTTGGTGTTGTATACTCCAAAACCTTCTTCTCATTTTTAAGGCGCATGCCCTGGATCAAAAGCCACAATTCTTGAAGAAATGAAAAAGCTTGAAAACCCCTACTGTAGGGGTCTGTATTAAACCTCTACATACGATCCTATGACAACTGTCAAATGTCAAAAGCATACAAAGTCTCTGAAGGGGTCCCGGTTAATGAAATTCCCATATCGCGTGCTGAGAACCCCAGGCACGGAAAGCACATTGTTTCCCGTGGCAGAAACAATATGTTTAAGCGAAGCACCAGAAACGCAATCGTCCTTAAATCAGAATCAAAGGCCTCGTGCTACGAGTTACTCATAGGCCTCCAAGTAGTTCCCTTTTTGGGATTACCTTATTTGGTTCTAAACATAAACCATAAAGAGGAACTACTTAGGGGCTTATGAGTAAAGAGCAGTCCTCGACGGGCAAGCAGTCCAAGAGGTCACGCCGTGCGAGCGATCTTCGGACCGCACATCTGTGGCGATGCTCTGGTCGGGGGCTTGGAAACGGAGGTTCGCTTTTCCCCTCCGCATTTTAGCTTACTTGAGATTTCGAGTTTGGGTGTCAGGGTCTATGGGATTCCTTCAGGTGTGAAGCTTTTATGGTTGGAAGTTTCCGCTGGGCCTCAAAGCTTGGGTAAGCAACAGGAAGCCGAAATTGCTACCAACATGAGTTTTTGAAATTCCTTCTTCCATGAATACTTGTATTATTTGTTTTTATGTACAGGGCCCCTATACTAGGCCTAAAGTTAGAGCGTCGAGGGTTTGATTAAGGGATAGGAACACAGAACTCATAACGAATCTCTTGAGTTTTGTAACTTTAACCCTAAGGGTCCTTGTACTCATATAGCATATTCATTGGCCCCAAAGTACCTATATAGGGACTACTTTAAGGCCAAAGTATGTACTATTTGGGTACATGGAACCTTAGGGTAATCTCCTTGGTAGTCGGATGCCTACAAGCAGCCCGCCAGGGTTCTTGATCGCTTTTTTTCATGAACCTCTCTTTGGAGCACCTTATAAGACCCTCTAAACCCTTCACTAAGAGCCCTGACCCTGAACCCCTAATCGCTAATCCCTGAACCCCCCCCCCCCCC